TATTTTCTAATCATATAATTCACAACGTAGATGGCATGCTTTTGTCAACGTTGCTTTTAGATCTGTTTATTCATTATATAATTATATAATTCCAGAATGTTACAAAACTAGTCACTGTGCACCAGCCAGTAGTGAGTTATGTATGAGCATCTTTAGTGAACTATAATAATACTCTTCTAATTATCTGTTGAATAGTGTGCCGCTCAGACTCAATCATCCCATCATTTTCTTTCTTTCTTTTCTTTTCTGTTTTTGTTTGGCCCCTTCTGTTCTCATTTTGCATTACAGTTGTATTACCAAATATGCCTTGATTTTGTTCCCTAACATTTGACCTCTTTTTCCATTCTTTATTGTTCATAATTCATAAATGAATGTTACAATTAATTGTTTATTCACATGTATTATCAATATATATATATATTCTTTTCCTCCGGCTTGGGCTAACCTTCATCGCATTCACTTATCAAGTCTGTCATTCCTACTTCCTGTCCCTTTTGTCACTTTTTCTTGCCCCCTTCTTTTACCTATACCTCATCTTTTGATCACACGGGTCACGTTTCTCTTCTGTGACACTTTTATGCTTCTTTCATGACCCAAGTAGCCACTTTGAGAATCTTTAGCGGGTCTGTCTAAATTGTATTTATTTTGGTCAAATTTTTAGTGGCAGATCACATGACAAATCCAATAAGTCTGGTTGCTATTTTTTTTATACATTATTCTTCACAAAATTCATTGGGTTCTGTGAACTTTTGGCTTCCCCAATAAAATTTGACTTAAAAGCTTCTCTGTCTCCCCCCATGCCCTATTAATACAAGGTATTGTGAGCAAACCTGCTTTGGGTTTTTTATCACTCAAGCAGTTAGCGAGGCGGGTGGCCATTGTTGTGAGAGCAGAGAACTTTCCTTCAACTCAGATTGTCTCAAAGTTTTGTTGATAAGAGCCTGATATGGGTAAGCTTGGTAAAATGTTGGACACGTTCTGTTTCTCTTCTTGCTCAAACTCTTGCTTCTGTGTAAATTCCATGGAATTTGATGATGAGTTTGAGGGAAAGCCCTTGATTATGAGTGACGCTGATCAGAAACTAAGACTTAAAGATGTGGTTGCCGGGAAGCAGACTTTGGCTTTTCAATTGAAACCCAAGGTTAGTCCTTCTTTTCTTTCCTCTTTCTGCTGTCACGTTTGAATTATCCCACCAATCTTTCTTCTCGGTTTATGGTCAGAAAGATCAAATATTTTGGTTAGTTTGGTATTTTAGACGGGCAGAGTCGATTAACATGATATCCTTCTAATGATGGTGCACGCAGATAGTGATATTGAGGGTGTCCATGCACTGCCATGGATGTGCAAGAAAAGTTGAGAAACATGTCTCAAAGTTGGAAGGTGAGTTTCATATTTTTGATGATTAAAGATATAAACCTTAACAGCTTCATCAGTCAACAAACTGGATTAGAATGGCTCTAGAAAACTAAAGATGAACAATCTGAGATGATATTGCTCTTAGGCATGCTATACAGCTTTGAGCTCTATTCTAATATTCTCCTTAGATTTTGAAACACTGTATCTGAATCTGGTATTTTTCTACTATTACTTACTGGAATTACTGTTGAGCAGCAAGATAAAATCCAGTGTGGTTGTCCAACTGTCCACCAGAAGAGTTAGATTTTACTTTAGTTCCTTTTCTGACAAAGGCAGTGTCAAAATGTGAAAAAGTCAACATGATTGTTGTTTATCCTCAGTAGTTGGTATGAACTATGAATAATTTTTGTCTCTATTCGTAATAAACAATATTAATTGTCTTTCTGCAATTCCTAAACAGGAGTGAGCTCATACAAGGTAGATCTGGAGACCAAAATGGTGGTTGTTATTGGCGACATTCTTCCCTTGGAAGTGTTGGAAAGTGTCTCTAAGGTCAAGAATGCACAACTTTGGGATTCTCCACGCTGAAGAGTTAAAAATTTGCCCCACACAGGATTCACATTTCCAAGCAGGATCCATTAAAGCAGAATGAAGAAGCTCTGTATTTGCTCTCATTTTGTCCCTTTCTTCCAAAATGTATAATGCCCATGTCGCTAGAAAGAAAAACAAGAAAGCGATAGTGTATTAAATGTCTCTTTTTGAGACTCGAGATCTGCTTGCACGTTTGGCCAAGTCTGGTGATATCGTATTCTCCGATCACATATTTAGTACACCCTGTATTTAAGAGGCTCTGTACTATGAATATATACTATTCCTTAAAATCATGTAGTAATGTGTTGGATGAAGCTAATTGCTGTGTCGACAATTTAATGCTCCGACTGAAGAAAGAAGCAGCACTTAAAGTTTGAACGTGAAACTGATCAGTTGTCTGTTGAGCGAGAAGGTTTTCGGGACGAGCTGAGCTCAAGTTCGGCGGAATATTCTTGCTCTTGGGTTAAAGTGACATGAAAAATACTCCTAAATGGCCACCGATCAATTTGTATATATTTATTTCTAAAATCGATCAGATAATTTTATTTAAAAAAATTCTGTTAAAATTCAAAATCTAAATAATGTTTTTAAGATAAATTTAAATTTTGCTAGTTTAAAATAACAAAAACAATGAGAAATTATAAGAATTTCTTCTAGATATTATTTAAATAATACTCATTTAGTCTGATTTATAAGTCATTCGTAACATATTTTATTGAAATAAAAAAATCATAAATCAATTCTAAAGTTTAGTAAATTCTCAATTTTATTTTTATTTAATATATACAAATTTTAGGAAAATAATATGAGGGGTTAAAATTATACATTAATGTAAAAAAATTAATAATGTGCTGATAAATAGGAAACAAATTTTCTCTCTAACTTATAATAAGAGGAGTATAAATATTTTTCTTAGAAAAATATCCGGGTAATATTCTTTATTATGATCAAGACGACTAACTTAAGTTTTGAAAACAAATGTCAGGCTTGCATTACCCCCCGGGGGTTTTTTTTTTGCCAATAAATTTCCAATAACTTGAAAATGTTGTTATTCTTAAATAAACAATCTAAAGAGCAACAAGAAAATATGAGATACAAGATTACGTATGCATATGTTTGGTGAGAAGCAATGAGAGGGAGGGAGGGAGGGAGGGGCAAAAGATTTGAGAAGATCCAGAATGCATGGCATGGCTTTTATGGCTGCTTTTAGCAGAATCATAGGTATGGGTGTGCTTCCCAAGTAGCTAACATAATAGTATTTAAGTATATATAAATAAACGTCACAGTCACAGACTCTGAGTCTGAGGATTTGCTAAAGCACTCAAATTTGAACGAGCACTTGCAAAATCGCCTGGGACTGGGAGGAAAGGATGCTTAGCTTGACTCAAAAGCAATCTTACTTCTGAGAGACACAGAGAGAGCATCAGAACCAAGAGATGGCTTTGTTCGCCATTAAAATTTGCATTTACTGACACGTTATTGACCTCCCTTCTCTGTTAACGCTTAAAATCCTCAGAATCACAGCTTTTGCCTTTTGTTGCACTCCTTACGGAAACTATGCCAGACCCTATCTGGGGCTCATTTGTTTGTGCCTTTCAGTTTCACTTTCAGTGAGTTCCGCTACTTTTTAATCCTTGGGTCAACATAATCACAGGCACTTTAACTAGAAACATTTTATTCCCTAATCTGGGCTCTTGGTTCGAGGCCTTGTGAGCAAAAGCTGTTTCTAGTTTCAACTGCTACCTCCTATACTTAATATAAAACCTTATTTGACTTTTATTTTGATTCTAAATATAAGATCTCAATCTATTTTGTCTCTTATATTTATGTATTTTTTTCCAAGGTAGTCCTTCTAATGATAATAGTTTTAGACAATACATTTGATTAGTAAGGATATTTTAAGAAAGACAACACCTATTTATTATAAATAACGAACTTAATTTATTTTCTTAATATCCTTAAATTAGTTAATTAGCTCTTATAATTAAAACCAGAAGTAGTATTTCACAGTACCACTTTTGGTAGCTGCGACGAAGAGCTTCAGACCTCCCTTAAAAGATCAAACCAGAATAGAGATTGGACTTGGGCCCAACTCTTCATATTTAAGCCTAGGCCCAAAACATGAAAATGAATAAGTCCAATTGAAAAACCCTTTCTTCAGTTACGTGTTGAGTGTTTTTTTTTTGACCAGGACGTGTTGAGTTGGGATCAACAAGAAAAAAAAAACAATGCTTCATCCACTCTCGTCATGGGCCCAAATGCAATGTCACATTGATAATGAGATTAACGGGAAAGGCAATTTCTTTTGGGACTTTGAGTCTTTGACTTTACCCAGTTTTTGGCTGGGGAAAAAAATGGAGGTGAGAGAAAAGTTCGAGAAACATATCAAGAAAAAAAATAATTTTCTCCTGCTTTGATGTGGAGAGAAAAATTCAAAAAAATCGGAGAATAAAACATGTGGGACCTACGTACTTTTTCTCTTCAAAAATTACAAGGTTTGGGGTGAGAAAACTGATTCTAAATTTATCCATTTAGTAATTATAAATTGGGTAAACAAATAATATTAAAAACAAAAAATAAAATTAGCTAAAACTATCACACTTTTAATATATGTAACTACTATAGAGACTATTTTTTAAAAAATAGATAAATATAAGATAAAAAATAAATTAGAATCTAATATTTATTAATTAAATTGAATATTAAAATGGTTTTTGTATTAAGAACAAAAGTAGTAAATTGTAAAAAATAAACCCTTTCCTGTCAGCGAAAATAAACATAAATTTTGGTTAAAAAAAAATCTCTTTTTAACCAGTGAAGACAGGTAAAGGTCAAGATAGCGATATAAGCAAAAGACACGTGCCCATCATTTATCAACCAGAAAGGAAAGGGCCCAACGAAGCTAGGAGGATTCTGACCATGGATACGTCGACAAGAAAACAGCCTTTAATAGCCAAAACAACCCAACTGTTTGGCATTTACAATTAAATTAAAATTTAAAGTATTAAAAATAAAAATCAGAAACGAGGAGCACGAAGCGAAGCATTGATATTGCGGGCCACAACAGGAGGAAACGCAGAGGCAGAGCAGAACGTTTTTGCAATTCCCTCTCAGATCGCAAAATCACAGTGCAATTCCAAATCATGAACCCCAAAGTTGCCCTTCTCTCCTTCTTCCTTCTGCTTCTCATATCTTCTTCGTTGCAAAATCCTAACCCTGAAACCTCGATTTCCTCCCTGTCGCCGTCTCCGGCTCACACCGAGCTTGCAAGCTATGGCTTCCCTGTTGGCCTTTTACCCGCCACCACAGTTTTACGTTACTCCGTCGACCAGACCTCCGGCGAATTTTCTGTTGAACTCGGTGATATGTGCAAGATCACGCTCCCTCCCGATAACTACGTCGCCACCTACTCCAAGATGATCACTGGCAAAATTGTCAAGGGCAAAATAGCGCAGCTGGATGGTATAAGAGTCCGGGCTCTCTTTAAGTGGTGGTCTATCACAGGGATTCGCTCTACTGGCGACGACATAGTGTTTGAAGTTGGGATGGTCACTGCGAAGTATCCTACGAAGAATTTCGATGAGAGCCCTGCCTGTGAGGGCCAGCGCTCTTCCTCCTGAAAGGTTGCATCTTTTACCTTTTCATGCTCTGTGTTGCACTTCTGCTTCTTGTTATTTAACTGTTTAGATGCTTCTTGTTATTTAACTTTTTAGATGCTTTGAACCTTATTTGAATCCTATTAGTTGAAGCATCGTGCTTCTTATTATTTGGCAGGGATTGAATAAATTATTACTTTCTCTCCACTAGTAAGTTGATAGCTGAATATTCTGCATGCTTGGATATATCGGCGACTTCTTTCGGAATCAATAATCAGGCTCTTTGTTGACTATTCCATCTGATTTCTACCTTATCTTCTTTTTTTATTATTATGCCGCGGCTATTTTCTTTCAATCGTGGCTTTCACTTTTCAGTTCCTATTGGGGACCTTATTTTAAAACCTTGCTTGCAATTAAAGCATTCAACTTGTTACGTTTTAATAGATCGATCAACGATCTGTTAAGAACCCGGATGAGAATATCTTAAGCATGAATAAAGAACGAAAGAGTGGTTTACAATAGGTTAGCTTTCATTTTCGTTTTTTAAGTATTCCTCTTTGTCTGAATCAATAAAACTTTCCACGTGGCTGGTCAGTAGCGACATGTACCTTGAGCACCATTACTTGGTAGGTGGGAATGAATTGGGAACACTAATAGCTTCGAACTAGAAGTAGACGTTGTGGATTAGCTGGAATTACATGGGTTTTGACTTTGAGTATATTTAGGTCACCATTAGGCTTTAATAACAGTGGTAACATGATTATACATGATTGGGGCTAAAAAAATTATTAGGCTAATAATCCATGAGTTTAGTTATCATATGAGGTTTGAGTTTGACCAGTTTTGATGAATTTTGCAATGCCACGAAACCTTTCTTTGTTGGCATGAAAATGGGGTGATCCAATACAGTCATTTCTTAATAATTCCACCTCGTTTCCATTAGCTAATCCTATAGTATTTCCATTCATCCCGTAGATTCTGGCATAGGTTTGAATTATGAGAATGTGGAACTTAGTTGTTGTTAACTGCTTCTGTTATGCAGTTGTCAATTAACCTTGTCTTCAGCTTATTTCTTCCTTTTTTTTCTTTTCCTGAATTTCATTGATTATATTAAGTTGGCTTTTTACGATTGATTGCAGTATGTTGATTTTCAAGAAACAAGTGAGTTATTCGTTTAACCTAGGAACATCCAATCTTGTTTTTGAGTCGATGCTATATGTGAAAATAGCATCTACTAGACAGTGTTGCTGTTGTTAACCTGAAAGATTGTTTTGATAGAAGTTCTGGTAAATTGTTTTGTATAATAGTTCTAATTAATCTTATTTCTTCATGGCTTGCGTATACTGTCATTGAATGAAAACTGAATCATGTCCATACCCTGTTTGTGGGCAAAGATTCATGGAATTCATTTTGCTCTAACTAGTACTTAGCTTTTGATCGGGGTGTGGGTGGACACCAAATCTTGCAAGTTGCAACAATACTCTTTTTATTTGCCCGTTTTGTTGCTTGCAGTTTATTGTTTTAGCTTGGACTAATACACCGTGGGTTACTGTTTCTAGAATGAGAAGAGATGTGAGGGCTGGAACTTTCCAGCCACTGGATCATGTTTGAGATTTCTACGTAGTACTAAATATTATGTGTCATGAATCTTCCAGCTCTCCATTCTCAAGCCCATCCATGTTGACAGTGTTTGATACCGCCATGCCCTGTCACGGAGTTAGATCTGAAAATTAATTGGTATTACGAAGTTGTATTTAGTCCGCAGTTGTCATGGAGAGGTGGAAGTGGAGATATCGTATCTTATTAGTATTTGTTATATTCTTCATTACTTAGCAATATTTGTACATTTTACTCTTCCTTTTTTTCCTTTTCTTTTTAGCAGGGGAATGTTTTTATTGGTCAATTGAATTATTTTTTGTATTCACTTTTTCCATACATTCCTTTTCATTCTGTGTATTGTTTGCATCTAAATGGATTGTTAGCTGGGCAGTAGAGGGGGCTATGTGAAAACAGCAAGTCATATGTTTGATGCAATGGTTGGTTGATTTAGCATTATTCTTTGTTTACCTAGCCCCTCAATGGCCATATGTAACTTGATATTTGGCCATCATTAGCGTAAAAGCTAAAAAGAAAAGGCATATTCGTAATTTTCAAATTGAAAGAGTCGTTGAATGCCCACCAATTTTGTGTTCTAATAAAAATGGGAAAAAAAAAGATTTTTATTGTCAGGAAAAAAAATCATGTTTCTTATGCATCACATGAACTGGAGAGTTGCCTTTTCTTCATTTTTAACATCGTTTGAATAATCTTTCTTTCTTTGGGGTTGTAAAATGCAAAGTTTTTAGTCAATGCAGTATGCATACATCTTTTGGATAAGTTTGGGATTTTTCAGTGAACCCGAAGATGTATTGAGTATGTTTTATAGCAGTGCTTCATGGATCCAGTATAACTTCGTGGGCAATGAATCTGTAAGTTTTGTGCGACCCATTTCTCATGCTATGAGGTCTAGATTTTGAGCCTTCAGACGAACAGAGGAAAATCAACTAGGAATACAGCATAGTTTCTAGGCTTCCTTTTTGACAACAGCTGCTCACTTTAAACGCCAAATAACATAAGCCCCCATGTCTATTCTCAGTCCTTTCCTTTTGGTCGTTGTTGGTTTCTTTCCCGTTGCTCCAAAGCCTCAATTTGGTTCATTAGACAAAGGGAAAAATCAGCGAACTTAATAGTACTAGCTTTGCTGTGACGCTAAGCAGATGCCCTTTTGGTTGGATGTTTATTCCTCTCTTATTGGAGAGAAAAAGTTGGTTGATGATTGATGTGAAATATTATTACATTAGTTACTACTTACTAGGGGCATCTCTCTCTCCCTCCCCCCTTTCCAGATTCATGCATAAAACAAGATGTTGACTTGTTTTTATGTCTTGGTATTATGGTATTCCCTTGTTTGTTTTTGGGATTCTCGTTGTGGTATAACGTGGATCGCATTCTACGAAATCTCCATCTCTGACATTTGCAACCCTCTGTGCAGGGTACATTTTCGCTTTCTCCATGGTCTAAGCAAGGTGACTGTGTCCAGGACCCACCATTTAAGTGCAAATCAACCCGAAGCCCTGTCTGTGGCCGATAAAAATAAATGTTACGAGGTTTAGTGCATCATGTACCCATATATTTATATATATGACGTCCGGAATCCACTCTGTTGTCACTTTCATGGATAATTGTCATATCTTTGCTGGGCTGTACTTTGAATATTGTATATTTGATGCTCTTCTTACTTCTGCTATGTAGTATGTACGCTGCCTATATCTGTATCGAATGATGTACCTATTTGTAGAACTGTATTATAATTGAAGTATTTGAATACCATGGATTACTTACGAAAAATTCCAAAATGAATAGCCACAACCCTGGGAGCCTTTCCTCTCACGGCCCAAAAAAAAGGGTTTTACTCGTTTGCAGAATTGTAACTCGTTGTCCATTGCTCTACCTAGTGTACCTACCAAATAATGGTTCTCAATGCATGTGTCGATTGTTTGCTCGGCTTAAAGATCTGACGCTGTTTTGAATTGGGTCTATGCAGGATACACGGTTGGGCGAGGCTTTTATTTTGTTAATAAATAAAAGAGCACCATGTAAAAGAGGTCAGCATGTCCCTTACATCCTGAGAAAGATAGCTAATATTCCAATAGTCATCTTCGGATAAAAATTTAAAAAAGGATTTATTAAAAAAATTTATAAACCTATGTAAAATTTACTTTATTTCTATATAAATACTCCCTCCAGTTCCTTAGGAGGAAGTTGGGGGGGGTCAAGTGTGATGGTAAATATAATATTTTAAGATAGTGTTATTAATTTTCATAATTTATAAATTGACATGTGACTTAATATTATATAGGGATACTTGAGGGAGATTGTGTCACAAATATTATAATTAACTAATTTGTTTTATTTTTTTAATTTATAGATTATATTTAATTTTTTTGAATATCAATATCAGTTATTATTTATTAGCCTCACAAATTAATATCAATAATTATTATCACTATTTATATATAAATATAATATATAGTAACTCAACAAAAATGTTGGCGAAAAACAGAAAAAAAAATGGCCAAAATTTTAGGCTTCGAATCAAGCCCTATTTTTTGAAAGTTATTTTTAACGATTCATTCTAATTTAGGCTGTGTTTGGGTGATATCCCAAACCATGGTTTGGGGAATAAATCATACAAACACCCACCCAAAAACCAAAACCATGGTTTTGGAAAAAGCAAAAAATTTTTGCTTTTGGAGAAAAAAGGGAGAGTGTGAGAGTCTATAGGATATGTATCTTGTTATTTTTTTTATAAACATATTTAATCTTATATTTTATAAATATATATACATATTAATTATTTATTAATTATATTATCTTATGTATTATTAATTATGTTAATAAAAAATATATTATTAACAATTTTATTCCTTCAAATTAAAATATATCATAAAATCTATTTTTCTGTAATTATCATATTAACTTATGTCTTTTTTTAGTAATTTTTATATATAAAAAGTGCTTCTGATAACAACTATCCAAACACTTTCACTTCTCAAAATTACTTTTTCATAAAATCTATTCTTTCCAGAATCTATTCTCCAGAATCACTTTTTCAAACCACGGTTTGGTTTCATCCAAACACACCCTTAATATGATTACATGACATGGGTTGGACTCAGATGGCCAAGCCACCTAGATTTCAGTGCAAGCTTGCTCACAAATCACAATAGTCCCCCTTTTTCATCTTTTGCTTTTTTGGCCACCCCACTTTTTCTCGTACTCAACCTTGTTAAGTCGCCTAATAATTTAGAATTTTTTTTAAAAAAATAATTTATAAATAGTTTTTTAATCGTGATTTATAAAATTTGATATAGATACATAAGAGAAATTTCATCTTAATTTATACAAAAAGTGCTTATAAATATTTTTAGTCACTATCCCAAAGAGACCCTTACTATTTGAGTAAATTACTTGGTTTCCTTTTTTTTTTTTGGTAAATTATCTGGTTCCTTTCAGGTTCCGCTAAAATTTCATGAATTTTTCTTTACTTTTAGAATTCATGTACCTCCTCAAAGATAAAGTAAAATACACAAGTTTTTCTTGAAGATTGTTAAATTATATAAGTATCTTTCTTTATTAAAATGTACACAAAACTCTCTTACTTTTACATGGACCAGTATTAATATTTAAAAAAAATTATGCACGTATCTTTTATATTTTTAGGGAAAAACATTGTATATATTTTGAAAACAGAGGTAGGCCGCGTGATTTTATCAAAATTACAAGATGGTTTTTACAATTTGATCTTTATTCTGATGCTGGTTCGTGCAAGTTTTCAAACAATTCAAGATATAGCTACTTGGTCCGGTTGGTCGGTCTGTATATAGGTCAAGGATTCAAAATTCAAACCATTCTAATGTATAAAAGAAAAAATTGCAAGATATGTTTTTGTAATTTTAACAAAACCTGAAGATGATTTGTATTAATTTTACATGATTTAAGAAATTTATAGACTAGCTATAATTCACAGCGACTCCAAAATTATCATCCAAGGAGAAGATTCAATCTTGAAGTGCAATTAATTATTGGAGCATCCCCTGTTTCCTTACAGACGTCCTTTATTATCTGCCTCTGTTTTTGTCTCTGTACAGAGCATCCTTCCCTTCCCTTTTGCTGCAGCATCTTTAATTTCAGTCCACTACAGTAATTTTCTTCTCTTCACGTACGTAAGATTAAGAACCCCAGATTCTGTTTGATATTTGTAGCAATGCTCAGTGGATCTACCAACAACCAACAAACAGAGCCAATCAACCTCCATCAAAAAGCTTCATTTTTTTCTCAAATTGAACATTTTGAGAGGTGGTTTGTCAATTCACGCGTCTCCATTATTTATTCTTTCTCCTGTTTTCGTGGCTGTTTGTTGTTGAATGCGATCTTGGACAATATGGAAGAGAATATACGTTGCTTTGCTTTGGCCCCTTTTATGGTTTTAAAGAAAAGTGAATCTTATTCTGATTTGTTGTACGTTGGATGGCTCTCAGTGCCTCATTGTCTGGTTCTTCTCTTGCATGTGTCTGAAAAACCAAAAAGAAAGAAAGAAAGAAAGATGATTCCTCCCTCTGGCCAACTCCCTCCAACCAATTATGCAAATCTGTGCCCATTACGCGCGTTGCGCTGCTTCCCCCGAAATCTGTTTCTTTTTCTCCTGACCATTTCAACTTTGAAGGACAAATCGCTCAGTACCTTGCTTGTGTAATGGTAATAATGTCTGATTCACTGCCACTGAAACAAAATCGCTGTCAAATATTCAATCTTCATTTGGTAAGAGAAAAGACTTCAAAACTTTAAAAGGAATTTGTCTTTTTATAATAAAAAAAAAAGTTCTTTTCAGTTGGAAATTTATAAAAGCTTGCGAAAATAATCAAATTTTTAAAAAATTAGGATGAATTCATGTGTCTTGTACATTATTTAAAATAAACTATAAGTGTATTTAACACTCTAATCTTATTTTCTAGTTGCATCTAATATTCTGATCTTTTTTATGATATACTCAGTGTCCTGATACTACTTCTGGTTCTAATTATAACAGCCAGTTGACTAATTTGAGGAGATTAAGGAAGTAAATTGAGTTAGTTATTTGTCCTAAATAGGTGTTGTTTTTCCTAAAATATCCTTACTAATCAAGTGTATTGACTAGAACTAACATTATTAGGAGGGCTACTTTGAAAAAAACATATAAATATAAAAGACAAAGTGGATTAGGGTCTTATATTTATGACCAAAATAAAAATCAAACATGGTCTTATATTAAAGATCGGAGGTAGTATTATTTTTTTGTCCATCCAGTACTTTGTTAGATTCAACTAAAAAATAATATCCGCATGCTGAGTACACTAAAGGAATCAATATTAACGTATTAAATGCATCATAAAAAAATTACTTAAGGAAAAAACTTCACTTTGAAATAAACGGCTGTGTTCATTGCTAAAGTTATGAATGCTTGCTGACTTCTGCTTTTTATTTTTGTCCGTCAATTTTACTTTTCATATTCATCCAAGTTAAAGCCAGTCCAATAACTGGCCGAAAAGAATTTTTCTTTTCAGTAAAAAAGGTCTGATCGCGTAGAAGGAAGAAACAAGATGAATTATTGCGCCAATAAATGGGAAAGTAATAAATATCTTCTTTTTTTTGTTGCCAGGATTAAATTTCTGTATTAATAATTACCATTTCGAACATTTCATGAGGGAATAATGTCCGTGGACGTTTATATCTATCAGTGTAAGCCACGCCACAACTACAAGCCTTTTCATTACTGTCAAAAATATTAACAAGTTTACGATACATATCTGTTCTGTTGCAGTAAATTAATGATGAGTTCCTGACACAACTCACAAATTTTTTTACTACTAATCTCAACGGTTTGAGGTAGTTAACAATTTTAAAAATCATACTCTTCTTCTAAATATACCGTCACTCAACTTTTATTGAAAATTGAGTTATATGCGGGGGTCTCAGGGAATGAGTAAACCTTAATTCATCACTCACATTTCTGCGTGAATGGAGTGTATATAGATTTGATCATAGTCTCCTGGTGCTATTTATAATGTAGAGGAAAAAAAAATTTTATTTGATATTTTTTTAGCACTAAATTTTTAACGTGAATATATTATTTAATCTTTAAATTTTTTAAATATATATATTAATCTGAGATGGTAAAAAAAGAAGTTGTTAAATTTTAAAATAATAGAGTTAATAAGCTCTGAAGTTTTTCTTTGTTTATATAAAATATGTTGAAAGTGACTTAGAAATAAAATTAAAAAAATACTTCTTCGATTCTAAATATAAGATTACACTACAAAATGGGTCTTATATTTAGAATCGGAGAAGCAATATAAGAGACCGCCGAGGGAATATGTAGTACATTATTTAGGATCCCAGAGAGTACTAACTTATATTACCTCTAATTCTAATTATAAGACCTCGTTTATAGATCATAAACAGGGTTTTATAATTAAACCGGGAGGTAGTACTAGAAAGAAACCAAACAGAAATTAACAGAATAATTAAATTAAACCTTTAATTAAGATTATCCGGTAGGGGGTGAGTGTTAATTAGATGAGATTATTACAAGAGATGGGACGGGGACCCTTATTATCGCTTTCGGCGAGTAAATATGAACACAAATACAAACAGGCGTTGGATGTGCCATAACCAATGAAAATGAGCTACACAAACACTGCACTTTTTTGTGATAACGAAGACCTTATCCTCAAATACAATCTGGAGGCGTGGCAGTGTGTTGCGTCCGCGGTGGTCCTTCCGTCAGTTCCGTTCATATTTTCGCATGA